TGTAGTGGCTATCACATCCGCCTAACACGCGGAAGGTCCCAGGTTCGAGCCCTGGCAGAAACACAGATTTCTTTTGTCTACAACCGAGGCAAATGCGGACATTACTGTCAATATTTCATTTTAGGGCTGGAATCTCGACCATTATTGTTTCTGTGGTGTAGTGATCATCACATTCGCCTTACAACCGGAAGGTTCCAGATTCGGGCTCTGGCAGAAACGATTTCTCTTGCCAACAATAGAGGCAAATGCGGACATTGATGTTGATGTTTCATTTGACGATTAATTTCGTATCACAACCCCAGTTGTTTCTGTGGTGTAGTGGTTATCACATCCGGGTCACACGACGAAGATCCCAGATTCGAGCTATGGCAGAAACACATATTTCTTTTATCCACAATCAAGGCAAACGCGGACATTAATGTCGATGTTTCATTCGAGGATTGATCTTCTGGCAAAACCCCAGGTGTTTCTGTGGTGTAGTGGTATCACATCCGCCTCAGATGCGGAAGATCCCAGATTCGAACTCTACCAGAAGCGCAAATATCTATTCTCTACAATCAGAGCAAATGCGGACATCACTGCCACTATTTCACTTTAGGGCTGTGAGTCACGATCATTATAGTTTCTGTGGTGTAAAGGTTATCACATCCGCCAAACACGCGGAAGGTCTCAAATTCGAGCTCTGGGCGAAACACAAATTTCTACAGTAATGTATACAATCAAGGCAAACGCAGACGTTACTGTCGATTTGTCGTTTGAGGGTTGATTTTGTGTTAAAACGCCAGTTGTTTCTGTGGTGTAGTGGCTATCACATCCGCCTAACACGCGGAAGGTCCCAGGTTCGAGCCCTGGCAGAAACACAAATTTCTTTTGTCTACAATCGAGGCAAATGTGGACATTACTGTCAATATTTCATTTTAGTGTTGTGAGTTCACACCATCATTGTTTCCGTGGTGTAGTGGTTATCACATCGACCTCACACGCGGAAGGTCCAAGATTCGAGTTCTAGCATAAACACAAGTTTCTTTCGTCAACGGTCGAGCCAAATGCGGATAATACTGCCAGTGTCATATTTATCAATGTTTCTGTGGTGTAGTGGCTATCACACCCACCTTCAACGCAGTGAGTCGAAAATTCGAGCCTTTACAGGAACACAGTTTTGTCTACGGTGGAGTAAAATGCGGATATTCGATGTTTCGTTTGAGGATTGATTTTGAGGCAAAATTATAGGTATTTATGTGTGGTGTAGTGGCTATCACATCCGCGTAACACGCAGAAGGTCCCAGATGCGAGCTCCACCAGAAACAATTACTTTTTGCCTACTATTGAGCCAAATGCGGACATTACTGCCAACATTTTACTTTAGGGCTGTGAGTTGCTACCGTCGCAGTTTCTGTGGTGTAATGGTTATCACATCCGCCTCACACGCGGAAGGTCCCAGATTCGAGCTCTGGCAGAAACATAAATTTCTTTTGTCTACAATCAAGGCAAATGTGGACATTAATGTCTGTTTTAATGCTTCATTTGAGGATTGATTTTGTGTCACGACCTCCGTTGTTTCTGCGGTGTAGTGGTTACCATATCCGCCTAACACGCAGGAGGCCCCGATTTGAGTCCTGGTAAAAATATAAATTTCTTTTGTCTACAATCGAGACAAATATAGATGCCAATATTTCATTTTAAAACTGTGAGTCTACTCCACCATAGTTTCCGTGGTGTAGTGGTTATCACATCGGCATTACCCGCGGAGGGTCTCAGGTTCGAGCTATGGTTGAAACATATTTTTTTTCTATTTACAATTGAAGCAAATGCAGACATTACTATCGATTTATCGTTTGTGGATTGATTTTGAGTCAAAATGCCAGTTGTTTCTGTGGTGTAGTGGCTATCACATCCGCCTAACACGCGGAAGGTCCCAGGTTCGAGCCCTGGCAGAAACATAAATTTCTTTTGTCTACAACCCTGGCAAATGTGGACATTACTGTCGATGTTTCATTTGACGATTTATTTCGTTCACAACCCCAGTGGTTTCTGTGGTGTAGTGGCTATCACATCCGCCTAACACGCGGAAGGTCCCAGGTTCGAGCCCTGGCAGAAACAAAAATTTCTTTTGCCTACAATCGAGGCAAATGCGGACATTATTGTCAATATTTCATTTTAGGGCTGTGAGTCGACAGCATCGTTGTTTCCGTGGTGCAGTGGTTATCACATCGGCATCACGTCGGGGGGCCTGGGATTCGAGCTCTGGTAAAAAGACGGATTTTTTTGTTTACAATCGAAGAAAATGCAGACATTACTTTCAATTTGTCGTTTAAGGATTGATTTTGAGCCAAAACGCCACGTGTTTCTGTGATGTGGTGGGTATCACATCCGCCTCATACGTAAAAGGTCACAGATTCGAGCGCTGGCAGAAACACGAATTTCTTTTGTTTACAATCAAGGCAAATGTGGACATTAATGTCTGTTTTAATGCTTCATTTGAGGATTGATTTTGTATGACGACGTCGGTTGTTTCTGCGGTGTAGTAGTTACCATATCCGCCTAACACGCGGGAGGTCCGGGATACGAGTCCTGGTAGAAACATAAATTTCTTTTGTCTACAATCGAGACAAATATGGATATTACTGCCAATATTTCATTTTAAAACTGTGAGTCTACGCCGTCATTGTTTCCGTGGTGTAGTGGTTATCACATCGGCATTACCCGCGGCGGGTCTCAGGTTCGAGCTATGGTTGAAACACAATTTTTTTTCTATTTACAATTGAAGCAAATGCAGACATTACTATCGATTTGTCGTTTGTGGATTGATTTTGAGTCAAAATGCCAGTTGTTTCTGTGGTGTAGTGGCTATCACATCCGCCTAACACGCGGAAGGTCCCAGGTTCGAGCCCTGGCAGAAACATAAATTTCTTTTGTCTACAACCCTGGCAAATGTGGACATTACTGTCGATGTTTCATTTGACGATTTATTTCGTATCACAACCCCAGTGGTTTCTGTGGTGTAGTGGCTATCACATCCGCCTAACACGCGGAAGGTCCCAGGTTCGAGCCCTGGCAGAAACAAAAACTTCTTTTGTCTACAATCGAGGCAAATGCGGACATTATTGTCAATATTTCATTTTAGGGCTGTGAGTCGACAGCATCATTGTTTCCGTGGTGCAGTGGTTATCACATCGGCATCACGTCGGGGGGCCTGGGATTCGAGCTCTGGTAAAAACACGGATTTTTTTGTTTACAATCGAAGAAAATGCAGACATTACTTTCAATTTGTCGTTTAAGGATTGATTTTGAGTCAAAACGCCACGTGTTTCTGTGATGTGGTGGGTATCACATCCGCCTTATACGCAAAAGGTCACAGATTCGAGCGCTGGCAGAAACACGAATTTCTTTTGTCTACAATCAAGGCAAATGTGGACATTAATGTCTGTTTTAATGCTTCATTTGAGGATTGATTTTGTATCACGACGTCGGTTGTTTCTGCGGTGTAGTAGTTACCATATCCGCCTAACACGCGGGAGGTCCAGGATACGAGTCCTGGTAGAAGCATAAATTTCTTTTGTCTACAATCGAGACAAATATGGATATTACTGCCAATATTTCATTTTAAAACTGTGAGTCTACGCCGTAATTGTTTCCGTGGTGCAGTGGTTATCACATCGGCACTAGCCGCGGCGGGTCTTATGTTCGAGCTCTGGTTGAAACACAGTTTTCTGTTGACAGTCGAAGCAAATGTAGACATCACTATCGATTTGTCGTTTGTGGATTGATTTTGAGTCAAAATGCCAGTTGTTTCTGTGGTGTAGTGGCTATCACATCCGCCTAACACGCGGAAGGTCCCAGGTTCGAGCCCTGGCAGAAACATAAATTTGTTTTGTCTGCAACCCAGGCAAATGTGGACATTACTGTCGATGTTTCATTTGACGATTTATTTCGTATCACAACCCCAGTTGTTTCTGTGGTGTAGTGGTTATCACATCCGTGTCACAAGAAGAAACCTGGCAGAAACACAAATGTCTTTTGTCTACAATCAAGGCAAACACGGACTTTAATGTCGATGTTTCATTCGAGGATTGATTTTCTGGCAACACCCCAGTGGCTATCACATCCACCTTAAACGCAGAACTTCCAAGGTTGGAGCGCTTACAGAAACACAGTTTTTATCTACAGTGGCGTAAAATGCGAACATTACTGTCGATGTTTCGTTTGAGGATTGATTTTGAGGCAAAATCATAGGTGTTTGTAAGGTGTAGTGGCTACCACATCCACGTAACACACAGAAGATTCGAGCTCCACCAGAAACAACTACTTTTTGTCTACTGTCGAGCCAAATGCGGACATTACTGCCAATATTTTACTTTAGGGCTGTGAGTTACGACTGCCGTAGTTTCTATGGTATAATGGTTATCACATCCGCGTCAGACGCGGAAGGTCCCAGATTCGAACTTACCAGAAGCGCAAATTTCTACTGTCTACAATTAGGGCAAATGCGGACATTACTGCCACTATTTCACTTTAGGGCTGTGAGTCACGATTATAATAGTTTCTGTGTTGTAATGGTTATCACATCCGCCTAACACACGGAAGGTCCTAGATTCCAGTCCTGGCAGAAACACAAATTTCTTTTGTCTAGAGTCGAGACAAATGCGGACATTACTGTCAACATTCCATTTTAAGGCAGTGAGTCTCCGCCATCATTGTTTGCGTGGTGTAGTGGTTATCACATCCACATTACACGCGGAAGTCCCAGATTCGAGCTCTAGTAGAGACAACCACGTTTTGTTTATGATCGAGCCAAATGCGGGCATTACTACCAATGCTTCATTTTAGGGCTGTGAGTCCCGACTATCAGTGTTACTGTGGTGTAGTGATTATCACATCCGCGTTATATGCGGATGTGATAATCTCTAATCTTTAATGTGATAATTCGAATCTCGGGAGAAATTTCAACTTTCTGTCTACAATCGAGACTCATGCGGAAAATATTGTCAATATTTAATTTTAGGGCTAATTGCTAGTAAGCATCGTCGTTGTTTCTGTGGTGTAGTGGTTATCACCACAGAAACAACTGGCGTTTTAACACAAAATCAATCCTCAAACGACAAATCGACAGTAACGTCTGCATTTGCCTTGATTATACACATTACTGTAGAAATTTGTGTTTCGCCCAGAGCTCGAATTTGGGACCTTCCGCGTGTTAGGCGGATATGGTAACCACTACACCGCAGAAACAACGGAGGTTGTGACACAAAATCAATCCTCAAATGAAGCATTAAAATAGACATTAATGTCCACATTTGCCTCGATTGTAGACAAAAGAAATTTACGTTTCTGCCAGATCTCGAATCTGCGAACTTCCGCGTGTGAGGCGGATGTGATAACCATTACACCACAGAAACTGCGACGGTAGCAACTCACAGCCCTAAAGTAAAATGTTGGCAGTAATGTCCGCATTTGGCTCAATAGTAGGCAAAAAGTAATTGTTTCTGGTGGAGCTCGCATCTGGGACCTTCTGCGTGTTACGCGGATGTGATAGCCACTACACCACACAGAAACACCTATAATTTTGCCTCAAAATCAATCCTCAAACGAAACATCGAATGTCCGCATTTTACTCCACCGTAGATAAAACTGTGTTTCTCTAAAGGCTCGAACTTTCGACTTACTGCGTTGAAGGTGGGTGTGATAGCCACTACACCACAGAAACGTTGATAAATAAGACACTGGCGGTATTATCCGCATTTGGCTCGACCGCCGAGGAAAGAAACTTGTGTTTATTCTAGAACTCGAATCTTGGACCTTCCGCGTGTGAGGTCGATGTGATAACCACTACACCAGGGAAACAATGATGGTGTGGACTCACAACACTAAAATGAAATATTGACAGTAATGTCCACATTTGCCTCGACTGTAGACAAAAGATATTTGTGTTTCTGCCAGGGCTCGAACCTGGGACCTTCCGCGTGTTAGGCGGATGTGATAGCCACTACACCACAGAAACAACTGGCTTTTTAACACATAATCAATCCTCAAACGACAAATCGACAGTAACGTCTGCATTTGCCTTGATTGTATACATTACTGTAGAAATTTGTGTTTCGGCCAGAACTCGAATTTGGGACCTTCCGCGTGTTTGGCGGATGTGATAACCTTTACACCACAGAAACTATAATGATCGTGACTCACATCCCTAAAGTGAAATAGTGGCAGTGATGTCCGCATTTGCCCTGATTTTAGACAATAGATATTTGCGCTTCTGGTAGAGTTCGAATCTGGGATCTTCCGCATCTGAGGCGGATGTGATACCACTACACCACAGAAACACCTGGTGTTTTGCCAGAAGATCAATCCTCGAATGATACATCGACATTAATGTCCGCGTTTGCCTTGATTGTAGATAAAAGAAATATGTGTTTCTGCCATAGCTCGAATCTGGGATCTTCGTCGTGTGACCCGGATGTGATA